TCATCCATTGTACATAGAACTGACACGTTCCCATCATTCAACACGCTCCCAATTCCGTCAAATTTCATCTCGACTTAACGCTTACCGCAAGTCAACTATAACGTATCTTTCCCGTCTACTCATACAATAAGTGAACTTTGTCTTAACCTTGGATTGTGAAATGTCCCCATGCCTGCGAAAACTTTTCTCCCCGTTGATTACCTACATTGTGACGGTTAGCGTGTATGATATTTTAACTTAACTTCACTTTTTTAACTGAAATGTGAGTTCCAGTGCTTGCCAAAGTTATATACAATACAAAATACACAAAAGTCACCAAAACATTCAGATAAAAAATACTGGCATCGAAGTTCGCACGTTCAATAAGCTGATTCCCGATCGCAGACTTCTATGAATTCTGCAAACGTTCCATTTTCAGTGATCCCATGTGTTGTGACCAATGATTCTCCTTATATGTGCTCCGTAAGTTTCTCGGATGAAACGAGTTCAAGAATACGAACTTTGTTTAATCGACTGTTTCCGTGTTTTTGCACTATCTGCCTCACTGAACAGGGACCGTTAGACAATTCTCATTAGAAAATCTCGCTTTGTATGAGATCAGTTGTAACGGTTGATTAAAACCGTTCCAGTACACTTTATGTTGTTGTTTTGTTCTGCTATTGACGTGGTCCGTAATGAACATTATCGGACTTCCTAATATCGCACTGGAGTTTGTCGATCACAGTTTAAGTCTTGTTGTCGAATTTAGGCATACTGAGAGCTATCTTTCCTCAATTTCCGTATAATTTTTGAACCATAAAAAGTTAAACGTCATATACCGCTTATTGCTGCACCTCCTCCTTGATGCAGAAATGAATATGTGGCTTGAAAATTATTTACGGGTAACGAGGTGATGTGATACGTGTTGACTGACTTCCAAAGATCTCCACTTCACTCTGGGTTTTCTCTTGTCATTTTCACGAAATGAATCCACAGTTTCACTTCTAGGTTGCGGCTCAACTTACTTAGTTCTTGTTGTCACCAGTGACACGTTGCGGTTCCAACTGTTCTCCGTGGTGAGTTATGTCAATTGAAGCTGCTTAATCCAATTATCGTTTTCGTGGTCATGTATAAAACTCAAATTTGTGCCTAAGTGTTAGAGAACTTGATCGAGACCGGGATAGAGACACATGAAGTCTTCCATTTCGCCTGCTTGACAAGC